TCTCATGTCCACCACTTCCATTTCCCTTTACATGACTAAAGTTTCTAAAGTCACATTTCAGCTTTAACATGGGAGGTTTGAGTCAAGATTTTTGCTTTTGGGCCACAGGAGATAGGAGATATCTGTTCTCCCTGAGCTGAGTTTGTTTTATGTTTTTCTTTGCTGACACTTTCCCTGGAGCAAGTGGGGCCTTATTCGAGGAAGGTGCTTTTGTGCCCCAAGGAAAAATCCCTGGGGACTTCCTCGTCTCCCCCAGCCAGTCAGTAAAAAGAAGCAAAAGCACTCAAAACAAAGCTTTCCTCCAGTTCCTCCAGAGAGACTCCCTCCCAGACAGCTCTGGGTTTGCTCCCAGCTCATCCATTTCCTCACAAACAGCCAGAGGCTATAGGAAAAGGCCGAGTCCATCACTGGACAGCAGAAGATCTCACAATTTGGAGAGCCAGGCTTATTCACCCATGACATTTTTAGAAGCTTCTTCTGCAGTCAGTGCATTATGCTTGCCAGGATTTCCTGAGCCCACAGAGATATCATGGATGGTTCCTGCTCAGGTTTTTGTAAAGTGTGGTATTCTGTTATTTTTTAGCTTTTTGTCTCAGAATGGAGACAAAGAGGGAAAGATGTGCAGAGTGTGACAGGGACCTCCTTGTAGGTAGTCACCATTGGAGCACACACCAGGCTGACGTGATGGAGGCAGCTGTTCCCTTGGGACACTGCACATGACTGGAAACTACTAGGTGACTTCTGGAGAGGACAGAGTGAGACAGTGAAGGGGAAAGGTGCCTGGGGCCTAACATGGAAGCTTTCAGTCTGTGGTATATATACCCTGCTGTGATTGGTCCATTTCTCTGTCAGACCTCACTGTGAGCGATGAGTGTCCTGTATATAAGGCTGTGGGCTGACAGCAGTTCTGTCCCTACAGACCAGGTAACCTGTGGAACTTTTGCACTTCTGTCTAGCTTGTTAGTTGTTGAGTTGCAGGTTCACAACTGTCTGCATAGGAGCACCTTGACCACATAGCCTCATGACCTGTGTGCCCTAAAAGAAGAACCTGAAAAGTCAATACATACTCTTAGTTACCATTGGCTAGGGTGCATTTGACTCTGTGAAACTGGCCTATCATCACCTCATAGTCAGCCTTTGGCCATAAATGTTATAGACTACTTAGAGCAGGATCTCTGGTTATCATGTTAGATGGCGACCCTGGATAAACTACATCATAACATAATTTGCCACTTCCAGGTTCTTACAACAGAACAACATCTCTTTGTGACTGAGAAAACTTGTTCTAACGAGTAAGGGAGGAGGGCAGTTTGCAGGAAGAAGAGGCACAGAAAATATTAGGTCAGATCTTGTTAGGCATCAAGTTTTGCCATGACCTTGACATCGTCCATCTAGACCTGAATTCTGAAAATATCCTTCTAGATGAAAAGGGCAATGTGAAAGCAGGTAGACTTTGTTATCTCCACCAGATGTAAAGCTGGCACTGTACTGCAATGGCAATGTGGGACCAAGACCTTCAAACCCCAGAACTGGTACTGGGAGAGGGCTATGATGAGAAGAAGGCAGATGTGTGGAGTCAGGTTATGCTGCTCTATTTTATTACCACTGGGTACCACCCCTTCCAAGAAAGCATGTTGGAAGAGATCGAGGGGAATATCATAAAAGAGAACCTATGACTTTTCAGCTCATGTCTCTGAGTATCTTGAAAAACTAATTCACTAAATGCTCACTGTTGCTCCACAGAGGAGGCCCTCCCCTGAACACTTTCAGCAACATCCGTGGGTCATGAAATAGGAGGAAAACATCCCAAATGACACCTACTTATCCCAGTGTCCTAGAAACACTGTAGTGTTAGGATTAATATCAATGGCATCTTGTAATCCTGTGTAAAGAGAAAATACAATGAAATGATGGGGACATACTTCATCATCAAAGAG